GAGGAGGAGGAGGAGGAGGAGGAAGAGGAGGAGGAGATTGGATTTATACCCCACCATTCACGACCCAAGGGAGTCTTGAAGCGACTTACAATCCCTTTCCCTTCCCCTCCCCACAACAGACACCCTGTGAGGTGGGTGGGGCTGAGAGAGCTCTCTCGAGAACGGCCCTTGAGAGAACAGATCTGGAAGAACTTGTGACTGACCCAAGGTCACACCAGCTGGCTGCATGTGGAGGAGCAGGGAATCAAACCCGGTTCTCCCGGATCAGAGTCCGCGCTCCTATCCACAACACCAGACTGGCTCTCAGTACCAGGTAGTAGGTGATGTGGAAGACCTCACTCCGCCAGAGACCCTGGAGAGCCGCTGCCAGTCTGAGTGGACAAGACTGACCCTGACGAAGCAATGGTTCAGTATAAGGCAGCTTCCTATATTCCGTTTCAGGGGAGGGGCCTCAGCTCTTGATACAACAGGACACACCGCTGCCTGTCAAGCCCAGCTACGGGTGGTGGTGAAGACTGTGAAGGGCCTCTACCAGTCTAGAGCCGGCTGTAGTGCCCTAGAGGGACCAGTGGATTTTCTGAGGTATAGGGCCGTACCGCACCCTCACATCTTTTCCTAGGGCAGCAATGCTCCCTCTAAGCTGTGGAGTCTCGTGAGCAAAAATTCTACCTTGTGAGCTACTGGCATTAGAGTTATGAGCCAGCGATTTGGCTACTGCATTCACCAGTCTGCTCCGGAACCCTCCTTCCTGAGCCGAGACAAAAAGGTGTGAGCCGGAGGCTCAAAAACTGTGAGCTGGCTCACACTGACTCAGCTTAGGGGGAACACTGCTCCCACCAAGGAAAAGGGAGGTTAGGAAATGAAGCCCTAAGGGAGGCCCCGCCCCATCCTGGCCCCACCCCTTCCCCACAACGGGCCACACCCACCCGTCCTTCTGGTCCGGCTTCTCCTGCAGCCCCGAGAGGAGGCCGATGAGACAGTCGTCGTAGTTGTTCAGGGAGCCCGAGGGGTAGTTGGTCAGGTAGGCGTTGTACTCCTGGTAGAGCCAGGCGAACGCCAGGTCCAGCCGGTTGCGGGTGTCGTCCAGGATGAAGGAGAGGACCTCGCTCTTCAAAGGGACCTCGAACTGGGTCACCAGGGACGAGAGGATCTTCACCCGCGCCTGCAGGAAGGGGAGAGGGGTGAGGAGGGGGCTGCCACGACACCCCCCGCCCACCCCCGGCAAGGCGCCCTTGACCGGGACGCTTCCGACCGCTTACGTGGGCTGCGCCGCTGCAGGCCACCGCCTTCTCGGAGCGCAGGATCCGCTTCACGGAGGCCATCTTGAGCTTGTCCTTCTGCGAGTCCGTCAGGGGCTTGATCACGTCGCTCAGGCGGAAAATCTTCTTGCGGCCGCTGGTGCCCGCCAGTCTGAAAGGAGAGCCACAAAAGAGAGTCCCTGAAGACCGACGGCTACTCCAGAGGAGGCACGCAAGCAAGGAGGACCCAATCCAAAGCACCCATGGGCTGCCAGGCCTTGGCAAACGGCACAACGCGGTAGTGGTTTTCGGCAGGTTGAGGCAATTACTGTCAACGAAGCTGGAAACGGCACAAGGCACAACCTAACGCGGGGGTCCCCAACATGGCGCCGGCGGGCACCAGTGTGGCCAACATCTTTCCCGGCGCCTGCCAAGTGTTTATAGGAAGCAGGCAGGGCTGTGAGGAGCTCTGGCCCAGCAAGGCTTCTGATTGGCCGCTGGAGATCCAGTTCCTTGCGCAGGTCTTTCAGTGCGCTGCTGGGGCAGCGGCTGCTGTCGGAGCGGAAGGATCGCCGCTGTATGGCCGAAGGGAAACCGTGGCACCCATTTTGTGGCCACGTCCACCACACTGCGTCAGAATTCCAAAGGTGCCCCACGGACTCAAAAAGGTTGGGGGGGGTCCCCTCACCCAACAAACCCAGAGAACGTCTGGCCACTGGGAGCAGAAGGTGCCAGGATACTTAATGCTCCCTCTAAGCTGCGGAGTCCTGTAAGTAACCATTCTATTTCTGTGAGCTACCGGCATTAAAGTCGTGAGCGAGCGATTCGGCTGCTGCGTAAACTAGTTTGCTCTGGAGCCCTCCTTCCTGAGCGAAGACAAAAACGGGCGAGCCGGAGGCTGAAAAACTGTGAGCCGGCTCACACTAACTCAGCATAGAGGGAACACTGGGGGGTGATGAAGTCAGAGGAATCCCCCCCTCAACATCTGACCGCTCCCGGCCCTCGTCCGTGTGCATCCCCACCGGTCTCCTTGAAGTTCAGCCCTGGTGAGGGCTGTGAGCCGGATGCCGCCCTAACAGAACTCCCCTTCCCCTCTCAAGGGGACGGTGTCAGGTAACCCTGTCATGGTGTTCGAATGTGGAGGGGGCATCTCCCTCTCCAAGCCAGCTCATTGGCTTTAGCTTGGGGGGGGGGGGGTCTTTGATTTTACTATAAGTGGCCATCCTATTGCAGGTCAATCCTGACACAAGCTGTATACTCGTTCTTAGTAATGGACTATCATTAAACACTTATCTTCTTAAGAAGCCTCGGTGTGTGGTGAGTAAAGATGAGAAGGCCTGGAAAAAAACCGGAAAAATTCGGGGGGAAAACTGGTTTTTTCCTGAAGCCTTTTAATTTTTTTCCAAAAAAATGGAAAAAATTGAAAAAAGAAAAAAAAAATGATAATGGAATGTTTTATTTTAACATGATGGAATAAAATATTTTAAGACAAGGTGTTCAAATATTTTCCAAATCATTTCTAAAATATATCTATATGGTATCAGATTGATCTAATTTCTGTGCACTGAGGACAAGCAAGTCCTAGGTTACAAACTGAACCCTCCAATGCAACAAGAAGATGCATTTCTTCCTTTAGGAGGTGCGATTGTCAGAAGAAAATAAAAAGGTTTCAGTTTTGTTTTTGCATGTGGGGTGGGTATTCTGTTTGTAATAATTGTTTGGATACACTATATTTTTAATAGACTAGTTGTGATAATTTCATGCCAAGTAAAAATGTCCATAGTCATATTTTATGTTCCTAAAGTAACAGAATGACTTTCAATCTAGAAAAGACAAAAGAAATGCTAATGTAGCATTTTTTCCATTCTGAAAATTTCCGTTTCCCCCCCCAAAAAAACGGGAAAAAAACGGTTTTTTTTCCAAGCTTCAAAATTTCCGGAAATTTTACATCTCTAGTGGTGTGCTCCTGCTAAGGAACCTGACAGACGGACTCTCACCTGGGCTGGGTGGTTGGGATGATGGGCTCCGGCCGCCGTTTGGCCTGCGGGGCCCCCAGCTCCGTGACAGTGGGGATGGGGCTGCCCTGGGCCCCCACCACCGAGATAGCCTGGCCGGGGTTGAGAGCGGACAGGCGCCTCTTGATCAACATGCTCTCCGGCTTCAGGAGCTTATCTTCCTTGGCCCCTTCCTTGGCCTGTTTGATCTGCTCCACGCCTACGGGGACGGGAAAGAGAGTTTCCACTTGGCCGGAGAAGCCACCGCCCTCCGCGGCACCATGCAATCGCCCCCCCCCCCACCGGGGACAATGACCCAGCCCATGGCGCTCAGGGAACAGGATGCAAAATCCACCCAGGTCACAGTCACCAGTTTCAAACTTTTCATCACTGGCCAGTGACAAAAGGAGGAGGAGGAGGAAGAGGAGGAGATTGGATTTATACCCTGCCCTTCACTCAGAGTCTTAGAGCGGCTTACAATCTTCTTCCCCTTCCCCCTCCCCACAACAGACACCCTGTGAGGTAGGCGGGGCCGAGGGAGAGCTTTCAAGGACTGCTCCCGAGAGAACAGCTCTGAGGAACTTGTGACTGACCAAAGGTCACCCAGTAGCTGCACGGGGAGGCGTGGGGAACCAAACCCGGTTCTCCCACATCAGAGTCCGCCGCTCCTAACTGCCGCACCAAACTCGCAAACGGCACACAAAAAACTCGCAAGCAAGATGCAGCGAGCCAGAGGCGGGGGTCGTTGTCAGAAGCCCGTGGCGACCCCCCCCGGAACGCCGCCTGCAGACGTACCTGGCCCCAACCCAGCCGCGGTCATCTGGGTGGCCATCAGCCGGGCAAGGTGCTTGATCTGGACGTCCGTGCCGGCCGACTCCACCGGGGTGTAGGTTGCTTGGAAAGAAGCCGGCATGTTCTCGGGCAGGTACACCATGCTGATGAGCACCTGGGGGCAGCAAGGGAGAGGAGTCGGGGCGGGGGCGGGACAGCAGAGCCGGGAAGGTCCCGACTCACCCGAGAGACCTCTCCCTCCGACCAGGCGGGAAGAGGCTCTCCTCCACGTTCGGAGTCCCGGTCCGTTTCCGCTTCGCACCCCGCTGGATTCCTGAGCGGAGACGATGGCGAGCCAGCCCCCCCAGCCCCCCCAACGGAGACTCACCAGGTTGGCCACGTTATCCGGACTCAGCAGGGGCTGCAGGAACTCCGCCGTGATGTCGATATCCGACTGCGTGCTGATTTGGATGGAGGGCTTCTGGGCGGGGACGGCCGCCTGCTCCAGGTCCTTATCCTCGTCGTCCTCCCCGAGGGGTGGCTCTGCGGCCGGGAGAGAGGCAGTGGTGTGAGCGCGCACTCCGTGGTGGTGGGGAGGTTTACGCTCACTTAGCACAGGGGTGTCAAACACAAGGCCCGGGGGCCGGATTCGGCCCCGCCCAGGGTTTTGATGTGGCCTGCGAGCAACTGGTGCGAGGGAGGAAGTGCTCGGGGGGGGGGGGGGGGGGGGGAGGCCCGCCCCGGGGAGCGGTCGAGCATCGTGGGGGCCTCTGCCCAGCGCTGCAGTGCCGCCTCTCCAGTCCGCCTAGGTGGGTTTTCCTCTGCACCCCCCTCCCCAGCCCAAGGGTCAGGTCGCCCTGTCATAGGTCTGGAATGTGGAGGGGTTCCCTCCCGTTTTCCGTCTCAGCTCTTCCTGGCTCACCCACTGTTCGCTATCTTATGCTTGACCTTGTAGATGCTCCAGCTACAGTTTTACTCGGCTGGGAAAGTTAACGGCTATTGCTTTGCCTGCTTGCTTTGCCCGCCGGCGCGAGATGTATCCATTGGCTCATGCTTACAGGGGGGATGTTTGATTCTAGTATAGGTCAGTGGCCCTTGTATTGGCGGCCATTCCTGACACAAGCTGTACACGTGTCTCTAGTACTGGATCTACCAGTAAACAGTTATCTTCTTATGAAGCCCCGTGTTGTGTGACCTAACTAAGGACCCTGACACCAAGGGGCCTTGCAGTGAGGATACACCAACTCGGAGATTACCAGCTACTGTCCTTTATACAGTTTCTATCTCCCGTACCTAGCATTACGTTTTAAGGCACACACGGCCCGGCCCGACAAAGAGACATTTAAGTCAGATCCGGCCCTCGGAACAAATGAGTTTGACACCTCCGACTTAGCAAACGATGATCCTGGGTCACCGAAGCACAGATCCAGGACGCCCGTTTCCCTCACCCACTCACCGGTCTTGATTTTCTTGGAGGCCGAGTCGCCCTCGTCCCGCGGGCGCTTGCGGAGCTCCTTCAGGTTGGGCATGTTGCGGGCGATCTCGGCCTGCTGGGTGCCCAGGTCCATCAGCAGGGTGGTGATCTGGGCCTGGAACTCCACGGAGGCCGGGTGCTTCAGCACGCTCAGCAGGTGGAGCTTCAGGTTCTTCCGGACGCTGCTGACCTGGGACTTGGCCAGCGTCGGAGGGAGGTTGGCTGCCAAGAAAGGGGTGGCACGAGGCATTGCTAGCCATCCGAAAGCACTGAAGATCTCTAGGAGGAGCTGTGTCTCAGGGGCAGAGTGTCTGCTTGTGATGCAGAAGGTCCCGGGTTCAATCCCCAGCATCTCCAGTTAAAAGGACCAGGCAGGAGGGGATCTGAAAGACCTCCCCCTGAGACCCTGGAGAGCCATGAAGTGGGACTGTGGCTCAGTGGAACAGCCTCTGCCTGGCATGTAGAAGGTCCCAGGTTCAGTCCCCAGCATCTCTCCAGTTAAAAGGACCAGGCAGGAGGGGATGGGAAACACCTCAGCCTCCACACAGACTCCACAGCTTAGAGGGAACATCGGTGGGGGGCACAATCACAAAACAGCTGCCACAGGAGGCAACACCAACCAAAAAGTGTCAGAAGAAGAAAAAGGGACTGGATTTATAACCAGCCCTTCACTCGGAGTCTCAGAGCAGCTTACAATCCCTTTCCCTTCCCTTCCCCACAATGGACACCAGCTGTGAGGTAGGCGGGGCTGAGAGATCTCTCTCTCAAGGACTGCTCTTGAGAGAACAGCTCCAAGAGAACTTGTGACTGACTCAAGGTCACACCAGCAGCTGCATGTGGAGGAGTGGGGAATCACACCCGGTTCTCCCAGAGCAGAGTCCACTCTTCTAACAAGTACACCAAAGCGGGATATAAAAATCTACTCTTGTACTCCCGTTGAGGGATGGGAGAGGAGGAGGAGACTGGAGTTATGCCCCGCCCTTCACTACCCGAAGGAGTCTCAGAGGAGTTTACAATCTCCTTTCCCTTCCCTTCCCCACAACAGACACCCTGTGAGGGAGGTGGGGCGGAGAGAGCTGTCTCGAGAACTGCCCTTGAGAGAACAGCTCTGAAAGAACTTATGATTGACCCAAGGTCACACCAGCCGCTGCATGTGGAGGAGGAGTGGGGAATCAAAAGGTACTGGTGGAGGCCACGGTGCCTACAGGTGGAACACCGGGGATCCCTGCTGTAACAGGTCACTGGGGTTCTTTTGTTAGTTCGTGCCACTACTTCATGCTGTAATATTTGCCTTCGCTTCACAAATCACACTACAAATCAGATATACATCCAGACCCCCGCCGCGTGAAGGCCCTTCTGCTTACCGTGCAGCGTCTCGTAAGCCTGGATCACCTCCGACATGAACATGGGCCGTTGGCGGGCGATGGAGGCCAGGGAGCCGAGCGCCGCAGTCAGGTTGATGCTGGAGATGGCCGGGTGCACCATGAACTTCAGGAGCTGCTCCAGGGCCAACTTTCCCTCTTCCCACAGGAAGTCTGAGGGACGCAATGGAAGAGAGGCAGAAGAGACAAATCAAGAAGAAGAAGAAGAGGAAGAAGAGGAGGAGGAGGAGGAGGAGATTGGATTTATACCCCGCCCTTCACTACCCGAAGGAGTCTCAGAGCGGCTCACAAACTCCTTTCCCTCCCCCTCCCCACAACAGACACCCCGTGAGGCGGGTGGCCCTGAGAGAGCTCTCTCTCGAGGACTGCTCCTGAGAGAACAGCGCTGAGAGAACTTGTGGCTGGCCCAAGGTCACACCAGCAGCTGCATGTGGAGGAGGACTGGGGAATCAAACCCGGTTCTCCCAGAGCAGGGCCCTTAACCACTACACCAAACTGCGTGTGAGAGAATAAAAACCAACACTGTTGTGGCAGCTGCCACCGAAGCAATGTTCATTCAATCGGCACTGCCCATCAGGAGCCCAGCGAGGCAGGAGTCCCACCTGGCCCCACCCACTTTCTAGAAACAGCGGGTGGGATCCATGGTGCCCACAGGCACCGCGTTGGGGACCCCTGCCCTAGTGGCTAATCCGGCCCGGACGCCAGGCCGGCGGAACACCAGCGTTGCCCCCCCCGGCCCCTCCCCTGCCGCTCTCCGCCTCCTCACTGTATTTGATGTAGGGGTGATCTTTCGGGACCCGGTCGAGGCTGATGTCGTTCTCGTGACGCTTGGGCACCTCCGAATCGGGCATGCGGGGCGAGAGGGTGATGATCAGCCCCTCCACGAACTTGATGGCGTGGGTGCGGATCCCGTCGTTGTCGGAGTCCAGCAGCTGGATGATCTCGCTGGCCATGGCCGACACCATCTCCCAGCAGGCCTCCTGCATGTCGTTGATCATGCGGGACTTCACCATCCACTGCACGCGGGGAGGGAAAGGAGGGGCCCGCGTGAGCAGGGACCGAGAGAAGAAGAAGAAGAGATTGGATTTTTACCCCGCCCTTCACTTGGAGTCTCAGAGCGGCTTACACACTCCTTTCCCTTCCCCTCCCCACAATGGACACCAGCTGTGAGGTGGGTGGGGCTGAGAGAGCTCTTGACAGAAACTGCTCTTTTTCAAGGACAGCTGTGCCAGAGCTTGTGACTGACCCAAGGTCACCCAACTGGCTGCAAGTGGAGGAGTGGGGAATCAAATCCGGTTCTCCCAGATTAGAGTCCGCGCACTTAACCACTAAGCCAAACTGCCGTTTCGTCTTCTTTTAAGAAAAATAAGCAATGAAATCCGTCGTGTATGGCCAAAGGCCCGTTAAAATCTTAAATTGAAATGACGTACCGTCGTGGGAGAGTAAAATAGATGAAAATTAATAAGCAACATCCTGGCCCTAAAGTTCAGCATTTTGCGTATTTTAAAGGGTAAGCTGCCTTGTGCCCTGGGAGAAATGTGAACGCAAGAAACCTCTCGAGGCCAGTCCTGTGTCCCCTCTAAGCCGGGGGTGGCCAAACTGGCATAATGAAAGAGCCACACAAAATAAAAGTCAGGTGTCTGAGAGCCGCAAGTCATGAACAGATATCACACACACGTTTTTACAGATTGGATTTTTATGAACACGAAATGCGACAGCCAGGAATAAAAACAGGGGTAAAAACAGGTATCGATAATGATATTTGTTTGCTAATGATATTTGTCTAAGAGAGAGGTGGAAAGAAAGAATGAAAGGTGGAAAAAGAGAGAGAGAGAAAGAGAGAGGGAAACAAAGAAAGCAAATAGATGGGGGGGAGAGGTGGAAAGAAAGCAACTTTCATTTAAAATGTGTCCTCCAAGCCCCCACCCGCTGGCTGGCTTGGTGAAGGGATTTAAAGAGACAAATGCCTTCTCCAAGCCAGCCGGGGGGGGGGGGGACCTTTAAGACCACATTTAAAGTTAAAGTTGCTTTCTTTCTCTGGTCCCCTCCACCTCCCCAGGGAGGGGAATACTGGGTGGGGAAGGGAAGACCGATCAGGGAGGCATGGCTCCCCTTCGCTTCCCCAGCTGCCCTGCTGGGAGCTGCACGATATGTGTGAAGGAGCCACACGTGGCTCCCAAGCCACAGTTCGGCCACCTCTGCCGTAAGCCGAGTGACTGTGAGCTAGCTCACAGTTTTTTTAGCCTCCGGCTCACACATTTTTGTCTCAGCTGAGGGAGGAGGGCTCCAGAGCCGACTAATTTATGCAGCGGCCAAATCGCTCGCTCACCACTTATGAATGCTCTGCTCTGCAAAGGAGGCAGAGGGCTCCTCGTGAGCACAAACGGCACGTCTCCAACTCTGCCTGGCCCACAGCTGAGCACTACAGCAGCGCCCTGGTGGCTTTCCAAGGTCAGACTTTGGCTCAAACCGAGCCCTCGGTGAGACCAGGTGGTAGGCAGAAGACATACTTTGCCAAGTCCGGAGGCCGCAAGGATCACTGACCCGCCGCCCCCACCCGCTCCCGAAGCCGCTCACCTGCAGCGCCACCTTGTACAGCTGGGTCATGGCCAGGATGGCCTTCTTCACCACATTGACGTTCTCGTCCCGCAGGAGCATGTTCAGGTTGGCGATCAGCTTGAGCAGCAGCTCCGTGTCCCGCTTGCTGGGGGCAAGGGGAGGGGGCGGAGAATGAAGAGGGACAGAGGAAACCGCGCTGTCCCCGCGACGGTCCGTCTAATCCCGGCCCCCGAGCCTCGGAAGGGAAAACTCTCCAGTACTTTCCACCATAGAGTCTTTTTTTTTTTAAGTGCCAAAAAATACGTTCGGGGGCCAGTGTTCCCTCTAAGCTGAGTGACTGTGGGCCAGCTCACAGTTTTTTAGCCTCCGGCTCACACATTTCGGTCTTAGCGCAGGAAGGAGGGCTCCAGAGCGGACTGATTGATGCGGCAGCCCAATCGCTCGCTCACAACTTTAAGGGCAGCGGCTCACAGAGTAGAGTTTTTGCTCACCAGACTCCACGGCTTAGAGGGAGCACTGGTTTCGGGCAGAGTGTGCCAGAATACACCAGGCTGGCACGCTGGCTCAGAGTTGGGTTGAAAGGGAGGGATTGCTGCAAACACACACACACACACACACACACAGACAGCCCCTCCCTACCATTCCACCCCTTGGAGAACACCAAGCAAAAAATGGACACCCACTCTGACCTCCTGCAGAGCTAGAAAGGAGACAGTCTAGGCCCAGGGGTCCCCAAACCTTTTGAGCCTGAGGCACCTTGGACATTCCAACACAGCAGGGTGGGCGCAGCCACACGACGGCTGCCACAGCTTCCCCTCGGTCACACGGTAAAGACCCTTTTGCTGTAGCGGCGGCTGGTGCCAAAGCAATGCTTTTAAAAATCTGCATAGCCAAACAAATCTCCAGTGGCCAATCAGAAGCATTGCTGGGCAAAAGCCCCACCTGGCCCCACCCACTTTAACACCCCGAGGCGGTGTCAACGTGTGTCGTGGTGCCCGCGGGCATCACGTTGGGGACCCCTGGTTTTCGCTCCAGTGGCTGCTAGAAACAAGCCCAGCCCCTGGGACCACCTACTGCATCATCCCTCACGCCCCCAAAGCGGCAAAGGAGAACCAATTCCGGGGAAGGGCACGGAGCGTACCAGGCTTCCTCAATGAACCCAATGACAAACTTCCGCACTTCGACAGATTTGTCGGCCTGGAAGGCGATGATCTCCTGCAACATAAGATAAGCAAAAAGGTCGAGGCCAGCCGCACTGCTGTGAATGCTCGAGCCTGTCGCACCGAGAGGCAGAGAAACCCCCTTGCCTTCTGACGCTGGGCCCAACCAGGCCCCAGGGAACAGAGTCTCGCAAGAGCGGACCGAGACCAGCGGCTGTCTCGAATCCGCCTAGCGATTTTTCACACTGCGGCCCATCAGGTTATTTCTAGCACGGGCGCGCGGCAGGCTTTTTTTTGTAGAAAAAGCCCAGCAGGAACTCATTAGCATAATAGGCCATACCCAACAGCAGGAACTCATTAGCATATTAGGCCACACCCCTGACAGCGCAGCTCATTCGCATATTAGGCCACACCCCCATGTTAACAGAAGTGTGCTCATCCAGCCACACCCACCTTTTGCTTCTTATTCTCTTTACCTTGTTAGTTGACAAAACCCAGGGCCTTTTTTTTGTAGCAAGAACTCCTTTGCATGTTAGGCCACACACCCCTAATGTAGCCAATCCAAATGAGTTCCTGCTGTTGGGTGTGGCCTATTATGCTAATGAGTTCCTGCTGGGTGTGGCCAACTCGGGAGCCAGCCGGAACTCCATTCCTGCGCGTTCCTGCCCCAAAATAGCCCATCCCCTCCCAGCGAAACCTGGCGATACTCACATCCAGGAAGTTATCCAGCAACGTCGGGTCCTTGTTGATGATCAACTCCTGGACCTGAGAGAGGGAAGCGAGACCCAGGAGAAGATTTAGGACTTATCGGGGGGCCAGCCAACCACCCTCCGACTTGCAGTTTGGGACCCAAGCTTGCTCTGTGCACAAAGATCCCCGGAACGTAGGAAGCAGGAGAGGAGACTGTACTTGCTACAGAGTTCTAAAACAGTTGCATTCAGATGTCACAATAAAACACTGTCTGGCAGCACCCTCGAGACAAACAATATTTTATTTCTGCATCTATGTGAGAGCAGGGATGGGAGGCGTCGTGGCAAAGCCCGAGCTCATGAGACCTTGGAAGCTGAGCAGGGTCGGTACTTGGAAGGGAGACCACCAAGGAAGGCTCTGCAGAGGAAGGCAATGGCAAACCACCTCTGCTTCTCCCTTGCCTCAAAAGTCCCTTGCTGGGGTGGCCATATGTTGGAAGCTAAGCAGGGTCAGTCCTTGGAGGGGAGACCACCAAGGGAGGCTCTGCAGAAGAAAGCGACAGGATACCAACTGGTAGGTCTGATTCACGCTTCCTCTCTGCCTCCCAATAGGAACGGACACCCTCCCTA